TATATAACTTGTTAGTTATATAGTAGTGCATCTAGGGTTATCAGATGAAAAATTTTGAAATCCCGAGAAAAAGGAGGATTTTGTCAAAGTTAGAAATTGTATAAAATACTTCGTAAAAATAATTGCAAAGTAAATAAAATAAACTTAGAAAGTACTCATAGATTTACACCCGGTTTCTGAATTGAGTATTATAAGTTAAGTAAGTCTCAAATTGTACTTAAACGTCACTGAAAGAGGTTTTCATTTCTTTTTATTTTTAATTATCGCTGTATAAACACTGTATCGCTGACCGAGCGCACTAACCACTGCACCATCGAGAACCTATAAAATGACAAACCCTGATATTTTCCTATCTGCACTACGTTTAGTAACACTTTCTAATTGCCTAATTTTCTTTCCGCGTTTTTACTGATTGCCCTAAACCCTGAGATATTGTAACTATACGCTCCCGAATTTTGATTGGCCAACACAATAACTATTCTGGTTTCGGACACTGGACACACGCTTTGTTCCTAATGCTGCTTTACAATTGAATAATAGCGTTTTGCGTAAGTAACAAAAGCTATAACCCTCGGGCACTTTAATTAAAGATGCGTCTATTTGTCGGGACAGTTGGAGTTCATTGTGTGCGAGTACAGAACCAGCTGTTCAATGAAATTTGATTCAGATAGCTAATGGTGCGTGTGCGATCGTTTTATTGTTTGGTATCTGTCAGTGTTTCCTTTAACGGTGCTATATGTTTTTAGGGATCGCACGTCGAATGGAAAAGTCCGATGAAAACGTAAAGAGCCACTAAGGAAAACAGAATTTGCAAAATTTCTGATCCATGTTTTGTTTTCATAAATGAGTTTATATAATGAGTTTATATTAAATTGTAGTCTATATCAACACCGGGTAATATAGCTTTCCATGGTGAAAGAATTTTCACGATCGGATCAGTATTTCCGAAGATTTCTCTACAAACAAATTAAATGAAAGACTGGAGTTTTTTTGGGGAAAATGTTCCATTGCTAGAGACTCGTATGACTACCGCTTTTTTCAATAGTGTCAGGTTGAAAGGAAAAGAAATTAATTCAAATCATAACGGCTCTTGCACTTTTTGGTCACAAGCACACCGCCTATTAGTTTTGACGTTATTTAGAAAAATAGGTCAATATTTGTTATTCACCGCTCTCATCGCAGAAATCACTATGTTTAAAATTTTGATAAAGTAATATTTATATATATTTTTATCTATAGATTACCTACAGCAAAACCTATAGACATCTATGATTTTTTATATTGAAATTGTACATCATCATCATCATCATCATCAGCCCTTTTACGTCCCCACTGCAGCGGCTCAGGCCTTTCTTATGGATGGTTAAGGAGGATGGCCCATGACCCTCCACGCTAGCCCAATGCGGATTGGAGGGTATTAACGACTGCAAATGCAGCCGGGACCAACGGCTTAACGGAGTATCTCGAGATAATAATTTTTTGGTCACCCATCCCGTGACCGACCCTTGCGAAAGTTGCTTAACGACTACGATCACGGGCCGCGGCGCTAATCCACTACGCCACCGAGCTACTCTCAAAACGAAATTGTACAGAACTCTATAAAAAACCAAGTCCCATACGCACTCGTTATTTTTTCATTGCAATGTGTTTGGCACGGGTCGGAGCAGGCGGGTGCGTCTATTCTAAAAACCAGGCAGGTGATAGAAACTTACTTCCCGTCTAAATCACTGTACACGCGACCTTACCACATGCCGTGATTTACTATTGAATTGCATGTGCATAAGAAATTTGTATCTTCAATGGCGTATTTACATAAGTGGATATATGCGGAGTGCAAGTGATTTTAGGGGCTCATTTTCGAATCCATGCATGAAATCACTCGTATACGGGATCTGTGCACGAATGGAAAAATAGTATGCGTAATGGTCTGTTCTAAAATAAATCAATAAAACGCTGCACTGCCATTTAATTATATGTAGCAAGAATATAAGCGAACAGACAGCCACTCGAACACTGGTTGAGCAGATAAGACAGTGGAATGATTTATTTCAGTCTCGTGATGCGTAAGTTGGTCGGTCATGTGCGATGCAAATGTGGCGCCGGTTGTGTAGGCGCCGGTGGTCGACGCGAATATAGATATTATAAAGGGCCTATATATTTCGAAAACAAATTAGCGATAAACTGATAGTTTCGCGGCATTCACTCGGGAATAAAGTTTAAAATCAATCGACAAATATAGTCTGATTTATTTTCCGATTTTGTTGTCATAATAGACCCCTATGTGTAAAGTATTGCCAAAGCGTCGTGTGTTATGTTGTTATTCCTTTTAATCAGCGGTAAGGAGTGGTTATTGTAGCGCTTACTCTCTGATAGTAGTAAAAAAAGAGGAATCATCAATTTATCGTCTTATCATATAAAATACGGTATTGAAATGAAAAATGGGTACCCATTTATATTTATTTTCTCATGACGTGTTTGAACCTGATATGATAAGATCTTTAGATCAAAGAAATTATATAAAAATTAACGATGCGTATAAATACGAAGTCCTTCCGTAAACTACTTTTTGAGATGATGCAAGGAAGCGGATTTTTTTATGTAAAAATATTAACAAGACGCTACCAGCCATACCTTATGTATCTTATTGAGTAACAACTTTGAATTTGTCATTAATTAATTGTTGCATGGAAACTCGGTCGTTAGTAGTTGCAATCTCAGTAGCGCGTTGTAATTGACGTTTACTCTGTCTCTTATCTGTTACTAAGATTGGTTAAGCTTACACGGTAGCGATTGCTAGGTTCTCGACCTGGCAAATTGCGCACATTGCAACGTATACCCAGTCCTTACCAATTACAATACCAGGAAAGATAGCCTGTTTCCTTTTCCCGCGCACTAAACCTAACGAGATCTGATTTGCAACTGTCAGTTACAATTTGCTAACGAGTGTATAACATGTCGCGGCATTAAAAGATAAAGATCATGGCCCCTCGGTGTATTATTGAATGTAAATTGCAACTAGGTACGCTTTTATCGCGTACGGATTGAAGTCAGATTGAATGGAAACTAATTATATTTACTCAGGCATTGTGTTGTCAATGTAACATAGGAAACCTGTTCTTAAAACGAAGAGCGATCATGTGCATAGAGCAACGGTAGGATGTTTGATTGATTTAATTTACTTCAAGTAGCTCAAGTGAAAATATTATTGGAATATATATCTAAAACGGACTGTTCGAGTATGGTATGAGAGTGGTTTTAATAATAATGCTATAAACGGAGGAAAAAATGCTAATCTATTTATAATATAAAACAATGTAGCTTAGCAATGTAGCCCGAGGTCTGAAATGTTTTAAACTACATGAGGTTTCAATCTATATACAGAGTGATTCAAGAGGAAGATTAATATGTATAAAACAGGAACACACGGAAAACCAGAAGTTATTTAAATATGAAGTTTATCGTGGGTTTTTTTAAAAGATGTCAAGTTTGAAAAGAAAAATAACGTTACAACAGAGGTCGCGTACGTTACCGTCGTTTACAAATATGGACATTTATTTGATTTAGACGCACGTGTCTTTTATATTCTGCGACACCTTAAAGCAACATTGTTCGTATAGAAAGAAGCGCACTCGAATATACTAAGAATTAAAAAAGGATAATTGCTAGAGCGCGCTCGTGCTGAATGGGCCGCCCGCGCCGGCATTGTGCTTCTAACGAAGGGTACTGGCAGGTAAGGTGGTCGTGCGCCTATAAATTCCCGACGGCAGATCATCCACGGACTTAGGGATGAAACGATACCATGCAGGTAGGTATCGATACTTTTTCACGATACCTTGGTCATGAGGTAGGTATTGATATCTACTTGTATCGGACAGTTTATAGATTTAAAGTAGAATTCTTAATATTAATAGCCAATAACATTACTCTTTGACGAAAGAAAAAGGAGTCGATCCAGGAGGCTGTTATGTAGGACTTTTCATGAAACATAATTTGGACAACTAACCAACGACTAAATAATCTTTTGCACGCTAGTTTTTTAACATGTCTTATTGAATGATTGACCAAGTAACGATACAAACACTTATTTCAAAAGTACTTGGTATCGCAAGAAAAGTATCGAATACTTATTTGTATTAACTTGTATCGTTTCATCCCTACACGGACCCACAACAAAGAGCTGTCATTTCACGCGCTCACGCTAAACGTTCACCCTCGAGCTATTTGTTCGCTTTCTTCTATGGTATACAAAGTGTTTTCTAAACTTGGACTCTGGCTGTGAAGAATCACTGGCTATAAACATTGTATAAACCTCATAAGGCTTTGCGATTTCTTGGCTCATTTATATGCCTGCCATGGGGAAATCATTAAACTGAAGAGTAATTAATCATAGAGATGTTATAAAATTAATTAGAGAACAATGATTGATCTCTATCTTTCTCGTCGAAGGGCGCGTTGATTTCATCTCGTTTTCTCTTTCTCTTTTGCGTTTAGGACCAACCTGAAGACTAAACTTTTTGCACGCCGTCCTCTGTCTCTAGGTATGTATAGAGGATGGTGTATTGAGCGTATAATTTATTTCATTACTCGCTTAGTTATTCGCAAACCACTAATATTATTGGAAATGTGCTCCGTAAAGTCTTCGGCAACAAAGTCACATATTTATCAGTTTTTCCTATCATAAAAGAGTATGATTACGAGAAATGAAAAATGTGCCGAATTTTAGAGGCAACTTTGTATTTTTTCTTATTTGACCGTTTCAGTGTCGTTAAATATATGAAGTAGTTTTCAATTAAAGTTCATTAGGACGTTATTTTTGTCCAAAACTAATTAAAAGATTGTGATTGTAATCGTCAGATATCCTCTTAAGCTTTCATTGGTAGCAATTCAATCAATTTTGAATTTTTTTTTTTTAGTTTACTTAACTTAGTAAGTTAGAGAGAGGTATAGCAGAACCAGCACCATTGTCGTACATTTGACATTTGGCATTTATGTTGTTACAGAAACAAGGTGTGGCGCAGGCGCATGCGTTTCGCAGCAAATCTTTCCGTAAGCCGAGGCCCTGCCAGTGGTGCCATCAGCCTCTCCACACGCAAGGATCGTGCTGTAGAGGTAAGCAAATATTAAAGTCGTCAACTATATACTATATACATCAAAGAGTTGATTTTACAGTATCTACACAGATCAAAATCAAATCAAATCAAATCAAAATTATTTATTCAATCTAGGCTGTTACAAGCACTTGTGAAAGTCGAGAGCTACGCCATCGGTTCGTAAATCTACGGCGGCAGACCTTGTACCGAGAAGAACCGGCAAGAAACTCGGCAAGGGCTGCTTTTTTCTCCCTGTTTTATTTCATACAGAGCGTCAAGATTGAAAAATGACTTCATTAAAATTTGAAGTCACTTTCCATTACAATATTACACAATATTAGAGTAAAACGGTATTTTCGTCAATCCAATCACATTTGTAGCCAAAGAAGCTCACCGATTAACAATTTAATATATATGAAAAATGAGCCATATTTAACTCCAAGCAGTTTTGTCGTTTAAATATTCATTAACAGTATAAATAACCTTTACTGAGTAGACAATTCTTAATATGGGTTTTAAACTTAAGTAATGGTTAATTTAAAATTTCCATAGGAATTTTGTTATAGTAGTGTACACCTTGACCCATAAATGATAATAGAACCTTCTTTAGCCTGCATGATAAAAAATATTATTTGGTATGAAAATAAATTTAAAAAATCCGGACTATTAATTATTATAGTTATTAAATTTCGCATTCACCTGAAATATAATCTTGTCTCTCTTAATAATAATGTGTGACAAGATTAAAAAATCTTATACGTGACATTTTCGTTTAATTGGGTTATAGTTCTATTTTACCGATATCGAAATCGAAAATTTTTAATGGGCTGTTGAAAGATCTAAGCTGTGCACTTCTCTGAATTATTTAAGAATAAGGTTCATTTACTGATATTTAAAAAGCTGGTGGGAGTTTATTTGTTTGTTTGCATTGAATAAGCTTCGAAATATCCGAACCGATTTAAAAAAGTTCTTCCACCTACCGGAAGCTTCATACGCGGGTGCTGTGATCACGTGGGCTATAATTTACGCGGGTGAGGTCGCGGGAAAACGCTAGTAACAATAAAATTACTCTGAGATTTAAGAATGACGAAATAATCAGAAAGTTAGGTAAACTTGGCCATAGGTACAAGTAAGTATGTTAAACGAAATTTAAATATTTATGCAATTGTATGAATTAAAGATAAGAAGTTTTCATTGGACGTTGAATGGCGGGCGTACTTGTCGTATTCGTACTTGGTTTGTCGGTCCAAACATTTGTTTTTATCGACTGACATTCAAAGGTCGACTTAACAGGAGGTGTAACAAGAGTTCCAGACGAAATGTTATTAAATGTCATGCATAGAAATTGGTCATGTACAATTTACTTTGACGTTTGATTCTCAGTTGTGTAATTACAATGACTCGACGATGTTTATATAAATTCGTTGTTTAGAACTTACTTAATACTATATCTTTAAAATATTTGGAATTATGTCACATTCCAGCATATTGGTATGGTATTATACCATACCACAGAACACAGAAACGTCTTTCTGTGTTCTGTGAAACCATACCATATACTTTTTTTGATAACGCAGGTGAAATGCACCTTAAGCCTTAGACTAGGGCTCTCCAGGGCCCTGAAAAGGGCACCTCACCTGGATAGGAAGAACCCGATATCCTACAAGGAGGGCACGGTTACCATAACCAACTTAAGAATATGTAGTAACAGCTTTTTCTCGCAACTATGTTGCGGGTATAGTTAGACCTTAAATGTCGAATTTAAATATAAACTTTCATGCTCTATTTCATTTTGTTATGCGATAACGGGTTAGTTATATTCTTTCCCAGTTTTATGTCTAGCTCTGTACCAAATTTCATTCAAATCGCTTCTATGGCTTGGGGGTGAAAGTGAAACAGACATACATACTCTCACATTTATAAAATATTGATGTTGCATTGGTTATTAATGTAATTAAACACATTAGTACGACTAGATTTCGCCGTTTAGATTGTAACCCAGGGTCGGGAAAGTCGTTAAATAGGGACAAAACCATATTCTATACAGTAATCTAGTGTACTCTACTTGTGACGTTTCCAGAAAAATAAAAGTTACTCGTTCTAACCATAAAGCTATAATAGTAAAAGGAAGCTATTATACTACCATATTATACACAAATGTTTATTCAGTTGGTAACTTAACAATGGAAAAGTTACAAATAACCTTAATACCTATTTTCCAATACTGTAACGAAGATAGAGAATAAGTGGCTATATTACAAAATTACAGTTTAGTATAATTTATATTTGATTAATTTTGTATTTACAATAATATATTATACTGGAAAATATTCTTAATGAAAAATGCTGAAAAAACCCACTTTGTCCTGGTATTCTGAGATGTTAGGTAGGCTTGTATCCTACGACCTTTCGCAATCCGGGCGACTGCTTTAACCACTAAGCTACTTAAGCAACATTCGCAAGAGCCAGTCATAGGATGGATGACCAAACATTTGTTATTTCAAACTTCTCTGTGCTCCGGGAGGCACGTTAAGCCGTTGGTCCCTGCATCTAGAGCCATTAACACCCACTTATCCGCATTGAGCCCACGTGGTGGGTCATGGCCCATTCATCCTATTCGATTCCAGCCTATCATCATATCAGCCTGTTGCAGTCCACTGCTGGACTTTGGCTTCCCCCAGAGTGCGCCACAAAACACGACCTCCCGCTGTCTTCATCCAGCCACTGCCGCACATCTTTCTGAGGTCGTCAGTCCATCTTTCCAGAGGGCGTCCGATATAACTTTTGCCGAGGCGTGGTCTCCATTCAAGAACCCTCCACCTTTCGTCTGTTCTGCGACAGATGTGGCCAGCCCACTGCTACTTCAGCTTGCTACATTTCTGGATCACATTCATTACTTTAGTCCTCTGCCGGATGACCTCATTCCGGATATCCGGACTCCGAGCATAGACCTTTCCAGAGCTCGCTGAGCGACATATGTAAAGTTGGTGGGCATAAGTCATGACTGGTAGGACCATTGATTGAATACCCGAGTCTTCAGGCATTGTGGCAGTGTGGACGAAAATATATATTAATAGGCTGGTGACGATGAAGGACTGAGAGTAAAACTTAGAGAACAAGTTTTACACGAATATTTATTCCAAACAAAATCTTGACGCTTATTTTCGTCGTTGAATGTAAGCAGTTAAACATGAAAAGGAATATAATTTACATAGTAATTTGTTTGTTTCAGTGTGCAAATATGTCTGTCACACCACATGTGAGAGCAAGGTACGTATTTCATATACTTTAATACTTTACAAACACTGGATAGTGATATCTGATAAGAGTTATATTAATATATAAATAATCTTCACCAACGTTAATAGTTGAATATTTTAGTAATTTATATTGTTGATATAAGTAAGTAGCTATACTGTTGCAAATAACTACTTACTAGACTAAATTTAGGTTTAGTCCTGTCAAGCTGCGATTTCAATAGTGATTATGACTAAGTTAATAGAATATTAGCATACAGGAGTATAACTATTTCATTGATTATATATGACTATAGAATAATGTAAAACAAACCCAAATTAAAGTTTAACCAAACTTTTTTTAACCCAAAAAAAAATTATACTTTAGAGAATGACACAGCAGTATTGGCACCATTGTACAGTTTTTCTTTTTAATTATTTCAAATTATAATTATGTTTAAAGTGTATTTGATTTTAACATTTATAATAACAATTTTGATTAGAATATAAAGTACCGCCATCTGTGGGAAGTTGTGTATCGCTACGATTCTAGCTACGATATAGGACGACGGTGTTACGCAAGCGTCAACAGCCGCGCTTGTGGGCGATTGTTATAAATAACGTGAGATGGCGCTAACTGTGCTACGATGACTCGGACTCGGTCCTTATAATAAATAAGATCTACATAATTGGATAGTTGAATTTAATTGACCGTAAAATCTATCAGGCTCATTTCCAATATATATATATATATTTCCTAATTGACAAAAAACATAAGAAATGCTATTAAAATTAAAAATTACTATTTCTGGATCATGTAAAAGTAAAAATAAAATAGGTACCTACATATTTAAATGAAGTTACGGTATTACGAGTATTTTACAGATATGTATGCATTCCATCATAAATTAAGACAAAATATTGTAAACAGAGTTGACTCAACTACACGATACAATCTTACTATTAAATTCATAATTCATTAATAAAGACTTCTATTCAATTCTCGTACAATGTCGCTATTACTAGCGGTATTGTGAATTTCGTGACACAAACCGGGCGTTTGGCATTCTGTAAGCGCTTATCCGGCTTATTTGAATTTATTCATAAAACAGATAATAGGCCCTGTGCTAGTAGAAGCTGTTTTGATGGCAATCACGTGGTTGCGGGTCACGCTTCTATTGTTCCACGTAGCACCAAAATTGGAGTTTAGACAAACAATATACATTCGTTGGGTTATATTTTATAACAAATTGGCGATTTGCAGGTATATATTTGTAGGTTAACTTTATCTTTGTCATAACAATATCCAACCTCTTAGGTTGGAAGGAAAGAAAGAACACTTTATTTTAAATTTTATTACAAAGAACATAGTAAATAGTTAGGCTAAATATTCTTAATGGGTAACGAAGTTTAGATTTCTGACCAGTTATTTTCCTTAGCGCCCATTTACGAACACTGAATTCTTACTTTTTTCTCTACACTATTGAAACACCTATCGTTCAAATCTTAATTTATGAGCTTTAAATTTAAAGGGTAATAGTAAAGTACAAATGTGTTAGTATTTCCCGAGCAGCTTATTTTTTGTTTTCATTATAACTTTAGTCGTGGTTTGGGACCATTAAAATTTGCCTAAGCTGCGTCAAGTTATGCGCTACCAACGATAAGTATTTGACTTTTATTGAGATTTAAGATGTTTTTTAGGTATTCAGACAGTAAAGAGCTTTGCGTAAGTATTCTTGATAAATATCTCTATGTGTCAGACAAAGACAAATTTATTATTTATGTAAATTCAAGATTTTGCTTGAGAGTCTGTCATTGAAAGCAATATAATGCACAACTTACACATTGACAATGAGAAAAGCAAAAGAGATATCATTTTATTTATAAGTACTGTACTTACTCTTTTTTTTATTTTAATAAAAGTAATAAAACGTCATTGAACGCGGCCATTTTTTTTTCGTGCATCGTGTTCTTATCTCGTTCTAACAAAACGAATGCTGTATGATGTTGTATGACTGTATGATTTCTTCTCATCCTTTGTGGTTCTATTATAATGTAACGCTACCACAACTTGTTACGCTGTTTTAAAACGCAATAACGTACGGGTATCACGTGTCTAATAATAAAACATCATTGAAGCTATCGGCACTTGTTTAGTTTGCTAAATTAATAATTTCGGCGATTATTATTATATTATTAGGGCTATAATATATGATTTGGTCAGTTCACAGAATATTATTTAGTTAGCTAAACACAATTTTTTTTAGGGATATTGTTGAGAGCAACTTTGCCAGCCTGTTTAGTTAAATGTTTTATAATTTTATTTAATATCAATACTTATAATTTTGACATTGTTATTGTTTATAATTGTTCTTTCACTTCTATTCTATTTTCATGTATTTACAAAGTTGTTAAAATTGTTTTTCTTTTAATAACATATAACAGATAGGTAGAATCATTATTTGTTTACTTTATTCAAATAAACTAAGTTTAATAGACTACTTGTTCTGTTACGATATAATGTATTCATATCAGTTACCTTTGGGATCATACTTGTAATTGGTGTTTTATATTATATAACAAAAATCTTTCTTGTTTTACCAAAAAATAGATAATTTTTTGAGATTTAAACATATTCTTCCGTTTTATTACTAGTTACCACTATTTTGATATTTCTCAGATCCCAAAATAAGCAGCCTAAGTACTTCTCTTATGGAAATCTGAAACTACGAAAGTATTACAACTCCAAGCCACAATATAGAAAAGTTCATTTTCTACATAAACCCGACTGGGAATCGACTCGGCGTGCGAGCCACTCGGTCATAGAGGTCGTGGTTCATTTATTTCATTAATAGATTCTAACTGATTATCTCATTTTAACTGCTTAAACAACTTTACTTTATTTGGTTATCCGATATTATAGATGTTTTAATCACGAGCTTCATTACACGTGTAACCAGAGTGTCGAAGAGTTAATTGATTAGCATTTAAATTAGAAATTAAATTTCTTAATCATGTCGGATATCAGTTTTACTTTTAGTGACGTCCGCTAATACCAGTTCAATTAATACTTCAAAGAAGTTAATGCCGCCTTTTCGGAAGAAGTTCGAAAGCGCAGTGTTATCGCTCGTGTTTCGCTTTGGCAAGGGCCAGTCATAGAACGGATGACCAAAAACTTATTATTGGGAGCTCTATCGTGCTTCAGAAGGTACATTCGCTCCCATCAATCCGCACTGAGCCCGCGTAGCGGATCATGACACATTCTACTTATTCGATTTTATTCATAGGCCATCAATAGTCCGGTGATGATGTTTTTGGAACCCTGAGGGACACGAAAAGCGATTTCATATGTTTGATTAATTAATTTCAAGAACTAGTAATTTCAAGAATCTGAGGTTTTGAGGCGCTGTATGCTGAAAGACGGGTATCAACTCAGTTCAGCAGCAGATGCAAATTAATTAGGTACAGTAAGTATATGATAAGCTTAGATATAGCGAAAATCATGTATTTTGTTGTGATCTAAAATATTAATATAGAGAGGTACTCACACGAAAAAAAAAAAAAAATTGTGTTGTACCTAATACTTAATTAATCGTAATTGATAAGTATGTTTAGTTATTTTTCAGTCCATCTCTGTTCTGAAACTATTGTAAAGTCAATAATGGACGTATAGTAAATAAATATATTTTAAACTAAATGTTGGATAAGTTAGAAATTGCAAAAGAAACAGTTGTAACCTGTATCGGGCCAACAATTTTTTTTTTTACAATTTAGACGTATAATTATTTCATAAAATAGGCGAAAATTATCCACTCCCACCTTATCTTCTGAAAGATACAAATATATAATACACTACAGATTACAGAGAATCATAAATTATCTTCTGAAAGATACAAATATATAATACACTACAGATTACAGAGAATCATAAATTAAGTCTATAATTTTTGCAATTCAACATTTGTACGAAATCTTTGGTTCACGAGCCCCGCTATCACGTGATAGTTTTTATGTAGTAAAAATGTAGTGTTCAAAAACAGATAATTTTCTTAATCTGCATGTACATTGTAGAATATACTATTATACAATTACGTTAAAACGGCTCTATCTTCAAGAGTAGTACATAATATTAGTGACTTGGTCTTCAAAGTGTCCAACATTAATTTATGTTTGACATCACCCCAGAGTGATGTCAGCTGACCATACTTAGCTCTTGAGTACTGCACAAGTAGCCTTAAACAGAATCGGATATCAATCACCGCGAGTTTTTCTATTAGTATCGTTGGCATCATAGGCTAGTTTATTATGTGATCCAGGGTTGCCTCCCGTCCCGAGTTTATCCGGGACAGTTCCGATTTCAATGATTTTTGATAACGCCCGACAATCGCTCCATTCGCGCCTTGGGTATCTCCATGTAGATCCCGCCGAGATGCAATTTGGATCCTATGAGTATTTTTTTATTATTTTTCCTATGATATGCTTTGAACTGAAGTCCGAGCATCAGTCAGAGTATCCGCCCAACTCTTTAGTCTTGATTCTAGGTATAGGATACGATATCTTAGCGATGTCATGACGATATTTAGTTTCATGTCGCTTGGTAGAGAATTTTTGGATAAATGACAAATCCATAATTTTCATTTTGTATCGTTCTTTCGTCATTACTAAAGTACACGTTAATAAAACAAGTACAAGTAAAATCAAACGAAATATTGCCATAACGTAAGATAAGATGTCGTATCATATTGCTATTGCGAATCATGGCTAGAGAATTGGGCGGTCGCACTTCTGATGACCGTTCAAGTGTCCCGAATTTTGTTACTCAAAAGGCGGCAACCCTAGTGTAATGTTATCGTGTTTAACTTTTCATCTATAATTCATCCACTATTAAGAAAGAACTAAGTATTTATGATGTCAATAATATTATGAGTAATAGCATATGAGATATTGATAACGTTATTATAAAGAATTTAAGACAAGTCAATTCTCTTATTTGTTAGATTAGACTTCCGTAATTATAAACAGAGTTGCGATTTA